ATGCAGATAATTTCTCAGGTAATTGTAGTAGCGTACAGACCTCAAAATAAGTAAACAAGGAAATCCTCGGCCATGATAATTAAGTCAAGAATACGTCAAGGATTATTGGTGGGTGAAAAACGTAGATAGATGGATATTCAAAATTTAATTTGTTAAGTGTTCTTTAAGTCATAATTCTAAACAAAAATAAGAAAAGGAGATTCAGGAAAATAGAAGAAATATCAAGTAGCAATTAAAAAGAGTAGACGCAATCTTCTAGTCGTTTTATAAGTCGAACAGCGACAACATAAATTGATGAGGGACGTCTTCGATCATTGGCAGCCTTTTATATTCATGAAGTTGCATTCGCTAATATATCAGGCAAATGGAGAAGAGACTTCAAAGAGCAGGTGCGGCACCGAAAATATCCACTCGTAACTCGGCAATTTCGGGATCAGAAGTTTGATTTAGCGCCCTCTGGCGGACTGCTATTAAATGGATATTTCTTTTGATTTTCATATTTTTGATACATTGATAGAATTTTCGCTCGGCATGTCCGAAATTTACGGCAAACTTAGCCGAGAAAGTTTATTTGATGTTATAGACGACCTTAAAGTTATTTTTGTTGGCGTTTTTTCGCTAAGGAATTTTCTTCTAGTTGTGCTCTGCCAGTTGGTTTTTTATCTCATGATATTTGAATTAGAAATGAAATAATAATGTTATTTGTTTATTTGGTTCTTACACCAACATAAAAAAATTATACTATTCCTAGGTTTATTTGTTTTATTTTTGAAGTGTTAAGAATTAACCAAAGTTTAGTGTTTAAAGCAAGACATAGAGGATGAAATACAGATTAATGTTCGATATTTTAAGAAATGGGCCAATGGTTAGTGTTAAAAGACACACATATGCGATAAGTAAATATATAGTCTGATGTGTACTTTCTAAGCCATATTATATAGAAAGAAGAATAAAGAACGGATAAAGAATAACTCAGAAAATATTTAGCGAACAAAACCAGCCAATACAATCTTCTACGGTTTCATTACAGTACACACGGTTTCATTACAGTCAATCTGGCATCAAAAAGGCCTAAATTCACATAAAATTACCCCCGCTCTCTTACTTTCCCAGTCGTAAGTGGTCCACCGGAAAAGCTTAAATTCGAAAATTTGTATCCCCCACCCTATCGTTTTTGAGAAACTCAAAAAATGTTGGATTCAATTTTCTGTCTGAACCGTGCGTAGGTCCCGCAGTAAATTTTTTGAAACAAAAAATGAAGAGAAACTAATTCTCCACATTTTCATCTCTAGTAAGTAAGAAACCTCTAAAACCTACGGAGACAAAGTCAGTCAAACGCATTTTTTTTTCATTTTCCGGGTGAAACCATTTATTTTACTGTCGCAAAGTTTTTAAAATTTAAGAGCGTAAAAAACCTACCAAATTGATATGTAATTTTTTTGCGTTTTACTGTTTACGACATATAACGTCGGCAATGTCGAGATATAGGGACTCACCTGTCGCTGGGCCTACTGTCGTGTTGAGTATTAACGTGGTAAGCATTTTTTTCGTGAGCGGACTAAAAATTCCTCGTTGCGTTTTTAGTCAAACGCAGTTTAAGATTAAAACTGAGTTAAAACTTTTGAGTTTTAATCATCTGCTGATGATGCTAACATGGTTAGCGAAACGCGCGTCCAGTGTAAAAGTAAAAGTGTTTTGGTGTATTGTGCTGATTTAGTGTTTTTATTTTGTTCTAAGAGTAAGTCAAATATATTGCTAGATGAAAAACGTAGATAGATAGTTAAAAATTATCTAATTTATTGAGTACCCTGTAAATACCCATAATTCTATAATAGATTACAAACAGAAGAAAATTCACGTAGCAATCACAAACAGTAGACGGAAACTTCTAGCCATCCTAGGTTAGGTTAGGTTAGGTTGCTGGGGTTTGGGATCATATTTGATCCCTCACTCGGAGGCCTTGGGCCCATTGCGATACCCCTGTATTGTTTTACCAAACCTTCCTCTCATTCTTTCTTTGCGTTAAAGCACTTCCAGCTCTTTGCAAAGTTCCCGATGTCGCTGATGTTGGCTTCTGC